AGCGAATTTTTGATTTCAATTAAAATTATTTATGGTGGCACACTAAGTTGGAATTGATCCAAGGAAGTTAATGTGGTGAATTCTAAAATAGAAAGCTAAGTATATTGTCACTTTAGAAGCAACAAAAGAGGGTGATGAATCAGAATTTCATTTATGAACTTGGATTGGTTTCTAAATGATTGTGCAAATAGAACATTGTTCTCAGCAGTGGTCTATAGCTCAATCTGAGAATCAAAGGTCAGGCCAAGCGATTCAATACATACAAAGCCAATTTCACAAAACTATAAATTTATGTGAAAGCATGAAAGATACATTGAAATGCAAATGATACAGATGGATCTGAAGTTGCGAGGATCCGATAGGACAAATTCTATACCACATGCAAATCATGGACTGACACCAGATTGCCATTGGTGTTTAAAAGTGCTAACTAGATTATTGACTCTAGTGCAAGTGGGAGACTGTTGAGAATATGCCCTAGAGGCAATATTATTTGTATTATTGTATTTCCATATTCATAATTAAGAGCTTATATTTCATGCTATAACTGTTATGATCCTGGAATATGCGATTCCGTGGAAAACTCATATGCACGTGTGAAATGATAAACCGATAAAATGAAGGTTCCTAGTCTCGCCTCTAAGACTAGCTCAAGTGTTGTTGGTGATCATGTTTTCCGGATCTTAGGATATCGTTAAGTGTAACGATGATCCTAAACCAACATTGAGATTATGACGTTGGAAAAACGATCATATTGAATCGACCCAAACTTGTTTGCTATGAATTGAGTTAATATCGTTTGTATTCAATGGTAATAACACAGAGTGTTAGCATGGGTTTTAGTTCCTCAGACCATGAGAGTGTCTCGCTCACTTCCTACCAGACGGTGGGCTTTGGGGTTGCTCAAACGTCATCTGTAACAAGGTGATCATAACGATAACTTTCGGGCTCACATGAAAGTTTGACAAGTAACCGGACATCTCGAGAGTGGGATTTGCTCCTCCGATGATGGAGAGATATTCTTAGGGCCCTCTTGGTGTGACAGCATTCATCATCGTTTAGCCAGACACAGGTGACTACGTCACACGGATGCCGGAACACGTTAAGTAGAAAGAAGAACCAAATCGGTAATGGGAGCAACGGTATAGTGAGCATGATGATGACTCAGGAGGATACCGATGCACACCGGATTTTGTAAAGTATTGCGAAGCAAAGGGAACATCATATGATAACCAAAGGTTCACTCAAATATCATTCGTGTAATCATAGGGACCAATATGGATGTCCACGATTTCGCTATCAGTCATTGAACGAATGGGTTTCATTCATGTCTATGGTTTACCGAACCTACGGGGTCACAAGCTTAAGGTAATCACGATTTGCTGAGTGTTAGTGGAACGGGAGTAATGAGAATATATTTGTGGATTTGTTTCATTAATATCTGGAATAGTTTCGAGAGGTTCCGGAAGCATTTCGGGGTCACCAGAAGGGTTTCGGTGAATATCGAGTAATACCAGGTATTACCGATTAATATATATATATATATATATAGGTGGGAAATATTTCCAGGGATGTTAAATTGTATATGTAATACTCTGAAAATGTTTGAAGTATTTTATATTTAATTCAAATATCAACGAGGCTAAAAAGGCCAAGAGGTGCAAGGCAACTTGGGCCAAAAAGGCCCAAGTAGGAAAGTGCCTCCCTTCCCTAATGAAGCGGGCCGAATTGTAGAGGGGGGGGGGGAGTCCAACTCCTCCTCCCTTGGCCGGTCAAAGGGGAGGGACTTTCCCTCCCCTTGTGGCGCCCCTCCTCTCCCCTCCTAACCTATATATACTAGAGGATTTCCATCCTTTGAACATACACGTTCTGGGAGCCTCCTCTAGTTGATCTAGTTCCAGTTCTAGTTGGTCCTACACTAATTAGAGCTAGCCCTGGCCACCTCTAATCCTCATAATTAGAAGTCCCATGTGGTTCTAATCTCCTCCCTCTAATTCTCCGGCGACGATTAGCTCTGTACGACGAAGCGCTGCCGAATCGTGAAAACTGTACCCTTGTAACCAAGTAGAGAGGCCGTGCTTTCGGTCTTCAGTTCGAGGGATCGTTTGAGGGCGGTTCGCGGGATCGTCATCAACGTTCGAGGGACTTCAAGTACGATCTACACCGACTCGTCTACTTCCGCTGCACTTCAAAGTCGGCAACGATCATTGATCACAACCCGTTATGCATCTTCATATTGTTCTTGGGTGATTGTATGTGCGATTTTTTTGTTTTCTAATACTTTTCCCAACAAAGGAAACCATGGTTCATAGGGAAAGTTGGGTCAGGAGCAAAGTACTCATTGAAGAGCAGCCGTGCTCTAGAGACTCTATGCCGGTTCAGAACTCTTATCCCTTTGATCGAGCCCTTTAAGTTGAGAACGTGCTCCACCTCTCGGCCCATTTCCTGTTGGATGCTCATGAGCATCATCAGCTCAGCTTCTCTGTCCGAATCTGAGGAATTGAAGAACTCATTTTAAATCATTCATCAAGCTCTGTCGGTTCATACTCCTCGTCTGACGAACCATCCAATCCATCGACCTATGAGTAAATCCTAAAAAGTGGTCGAACAATGTGTCGAACAAATAGAGGGCAAGGTGTAGTCCGAGAGTTTTCAAACATTCCGCGATGACATCCGGGCCGACGACGATATCAATTGTGGCGAGGACGGATGGGAGGACTGTTGTGGCGGTGCTAGCGACGCTGAGGGCTCAGAACGGTGGCGGGTCTAGGAGGGGGCGGTGCGGAGCTAGGAGGGGGTTGTCTGGTCCGACGTGTCGAACGTGCCCGGGCCTCCTCATATCCGCCCCAGATTTGAGTTAGATATGAGGGGTGCCGGTCAGCCCAGGCATTTAGGGCCGATATGAGGAGCCCGTCTTGGTTGGGTTTTTTTACCAGTCAGTGGTCGAGCCGTCCGCCCGAAAGTTTGAGTCCGGTTTGAGGCACCTAGCTGTAGGTGCTCCACAATTATCAAATGTTCACGTACACGTTCTCTTGCGTATTTTGATAGAGGCCGATGCTATACCTGGACGAATCAAAGCAATCAAAGATAAATAACATAATCTTAAGCAATAAAGATAAATACTCCATTGCAACAATAATTCAAATAAAAATATTACAATTCAAATGTACAGTTCTAAAATAAAATAGTTTAAGTTTGAATTTATCTTAGTCGGATACATGTTTTAATTCTTCATACGAAACGCCCGAAGATGCTAAATAAGATCATTTTACAGTTGCTCATGAGTTTCTCGATGTCGAATTTGATGAGGCATTTAGATAAAATCCTCAAATGTTATATGAATTTAAGGATATACTAATAAGACGCATGGCTGTGAACTCAGATATTTAAGAGATGACCGGGCACTGTACACCGACGCAGTCGGGCTCATCCACGAACATTTGAGGGTCACACTAGAGCATCTCCACCTGCCCCTCACGACACCTTTTTAGTCTCGGTTTTAGGCTCGGACGACGTTTTTTCCCCGAAAAACGGTCCAGTCACGCCTTCAACGCCCCTAGGACGTCGAAACAGCGCCGACAAACCCAGCGTGTTGCGGGGCTCTTAGGGCGCCGGCGGAAGTTTCGGCGAATCGTGTCGCCCCACAAATCTTTTTGTTGACCCACTTAATCATTTTCCTCACAAATTTTTGGTTAAGGTGGGGTGTGGCTGGAAAGATGCCCTCCTCATGCACCTTTATTTCAACCGGATGAAACTTTGGCCCCTCAAAACACCATTTTTTTAATTTGATGGTGTTGTGGGCGCTTCAAGGGCTGGAGACGCTCTTAGCGTGTGTTAGGTAGGGTGCATGGAGGGTGCATGAGGGTAAAAGTTTCCAATCGGACCCACTTTTGCTTGTTTGGTAGGGTGCATAAGCTCATATGGGCTATGCTGATCTGATGCATAAGAGGGCCCTCAACTATGCTCATCTCATGCACCCCAGACAGGGTGCATGGAGGCAGCCATGCTGGCTCTGACACTCGTCCCCACCCACCAGACCACGTCCAGATATGTTTATATTTTCAAAAAATATTTAGAATTTTACAATTTATTTGAATCTTTGAAAATTTTAGAATATCAAAATTTCTTTAAATTTTTGAAATTTTTAGGATTTCAAAGTTGTTTAAATTTTCAAAAAAATGTTCATAATTTCAATATTTCTAAAAAAATCAACAATGTTCGGAATTTCAAAATAAAATAAAAAATTGTTTGAATTTTGAAAAAAACCAGAATTTCGAATTTAATTAAATTTTTATAAAATATTCAAAAGTCCAAATTTTGTTTAAATTTTCAAAAAAATCTTGGAATTTCCAATATGTTCAAAATTTCAAAAAAAAATTCAGAATTTCAGAATTTATTTTATTTATTTTTTAAAAAATTAGAATTCCAAAAATTTATAAATTTTCAAATTTTGTTTAAATTTGTGTTCATATTTTTCCGATTTTGTTCATCATTCAAATATAATATTTGGAATTTGAAAATGTTCAGCATGTCTAAACACATGCAGGCTGCCAAACAAAGTCTCAGCTCAGCATGTCTCAGCGCATACATCGCTGCCAAACAACAGCAACTGCGTGGACTCAGCATGTCTACACTCAGCATGTATAAGAGAAAAACAACTAGGGTAGGTCCATACATGCTACCAAACACACCTTTAGAGGGCTCGGCTGTAGATGCTCTAGTCCTGCCCATGCGAGCGGCAGCAGCAGCAGCTCTACGTTGCAGGCAGCCGCGGGTAGTGAACAGGAGCAGACAGATACCACTCGCGCGTGTCGTGTATAAATATCTCTCTCCCGGACTCCCCGCCGTCCCACCCAGCGCTTACTCGCGGTCGGCCAGTCCCCGTTCCGTCCCGCCCCGGCGACTCCACCACCCGCCCCTCTCGCCTCACCTTCCCTGCACGCACGCCCGCCCTCCCGCCCCAGCAGTTGACCCGCGCGACGCGCCGCTCGTCAGATCAGATGGACCATGCCAAGGAGCCGTCTCCCACGCGGTAATCAATCTATCAATCCTTCCCGCCTTCCCCGCGATTCGCCTCCTGCGCGCATTCTTGTTTCTGCCTGCGCCACCGGCGGCGATGGCTGACGCGGGCGGTGGCGCGTGCAGGGCGTGGTGGTCGAGGGACACGGTGGCCGTGGTGACGGGCGCCAACCGGGGCATCGGCCACTCGCTGGCCGCGCGGCTCGCGGAGCACGGCCTCACCGTCGTGCTCACCGCGCGGGACGGCGAGCGCGGGGAGGCCGCCGCCGCGCCGCTCCGCGACCGCGGGCTCCCCGTCGTCTTCCGCCGCCTCGACGTCTCCGACCCCGCCTCCGTCGCCGACTTCGCCGCCTGGCTCCGCGACACCGTCGGCGGCCTCGACATCCTGGTACGCCATCGCCACGCCACCACCTCCCCTTTATCCTCCTCGCTTCCTCGCCCTAGGTGTCTGCATCTTCCCCGCACAAGGTCAAATCTTCGGAGCGCCACCAAAGTTATTCCTACCTTTGCCATGGATGGGATGGATCAGCCATGAATATCCACGATTCCACGCACCAACGCGCATCGTCATCCGTAGTAGCGCTCTCGCTTTGCATCGGATCAGGCCGAGCCTGGTTCCGTTTCACACTGCATTATTGCGCTCTCTGTCTCGGACAGGGCACGCAACACAACACGAGCTCGCCAGCGCGTCGACCAACGGAATAAAAACGTCATGTCACTCTCAGAAAAGCCGCAAGAAGTGGCAGGCGGGGTACGGCGGAGCGGTGTGCGCAGCGCAGTTATGGCGTGCGTCCGACGGCCTTCCGTTCCCCGTTCGTCATCTGGGCCGTCTGCGCCGCCGGACAGCGACGGCCGGCCGGCAACCAGGTCCGACCTGACGACGATGTGTCGTGGTCTCGTGGAATATGTTACATGGCCGGTACAGTACGCACCTACACCTGGTTGCTTGCGTCCGGGGACCAACCCCAGCAATCAACCTGGTCAGGTTTTTGATGAACCGCACCACTCACAAGATATTGCTTTTACCAAGTGTGCCTCGTTGACTCGGAGTAGGTGATAATAATGTGCATCATCTACCGAGTTTACCGGAGTTCTTGTACTTAATTCTACAGATTATTTTTTGCACTAAAGATTCTAGTATCATGTCGATTTTGTCGACGTTTTCGTAATCAACATATATTCAGAGTTTCAGACATTTCTAGTTTCAACTGCTTGAACTTATGGTTGCATTCTTTACTGAAAATTTACAGAAGCACATGGGTCTTGCCCTTAGCCTTTAGTTGCAGCAAACGGATGCTTTCTGAGCGAGCCAAGCCAAGGATAAAGTTCATCACACTGTTGTTATATAACCCAAACCAAGCCAAGGAAGATTCTTTAATGCCAATTTTGTCAATGTTTGAGTAGTCATATATTCAGAGTTTCAGACATTTCTACTTTGAACTATTCAGATTTATGTTTCATTCTTTATTGAGAAAGCACACGCGTCTTCCTTATTTCTAGCGAGCCAAGCCAAGGATACTTTTCAGCACACTGTTGTCATATAGGAGAAGAAACGGGCAGACTCTAAACAAAATGGTGGCCCCTAACAGAATGTATTCAATTCAATGTTAACATAGTTCACTACCCCACTCTGGCTGAGTTAGCACTTTCATGCCACTTAATCATGTAGAAGTACTGCCCATCTTATGGCTCTCCAACTTTGTTGGTTCATCCATGCCGTCAAGTCATCATCTGATGTGGAAAACTTTTCGAAAGCATACTTTGATACTTGTGATTTGAGAGCCGGAGAGTGAAAGGCATGATACGCCAGTCAGCACTCACTAGTGCTGTTTCCATTTCTAGCTCCAACACCAAAACCAATGAGAAAAAGGAAGTTGTTTCACGACCACGCAGGTGTAAAGAAGCAAGAGGGCATGGCCTTCCTTCCTCCGGCGCTGGAATTAATGAAGTCACATTCCTGTCTGTCGATGCAGGTGAACAATGCCGCCGTGTCGTTCAACGAGATCGACACCAACTCGGTGGAGCACGCGGAGACGGTCCTCAACACCAACTTCTACGGGACCAAGCTGCTGACCGAGGCGCTTCTGCCCCTCTTCCGGCGATCGCCGGCCACCAGCCGGATCCTCAACATCAGCTCTCAGCTTGGCCTTCTTAACGTAAGTGTATGCATGTTCATTCAGATCAGATGGATAGTATTTCAAAGTTTGCAAACATGCCGTTGTGGGCTCGACTAGTCGATAACACAATCAAACTATCAAAGTGTGAACGCACGTGGCTAGCTATGTATAGAGACAAGAGAATTTTCAATTCTATCTCAAACCATATCGCAATCAGCAACGCCAGCAGCTCTACCTAATACCAGTACATTGTCCACTCACACTCCACAGAATGCATATATGTCCAAATTAAGCCACTTCATTTGAAATACCTAGTCTTTTCTTTCCTTATCGTTGAAAGAGCAAAGGGGGGAAGGTGCAACGTTTTCTTTCCACAAAACTCCAGGTTTGCTTTAGCTCTTCTGTTTAAAGATTCTCCAACCTACAGAGTTAGGTGTTCAATTCTGCCCACCAGTATATTCTTTGTTAAAAATGGATCATTCAAAAGGGACCACCCTCGCCTTTTTCTTCCTTATAAATTGTGTAAGTTCCAAATTTTTGGTTCCTAGCTTGATCACATGGCAATTGGCAACATATGTCATAAAAAATGATAGTCTGTAAAACGATCATGCACATCTGGACAAGCATGGATGAATGGGAGGGGATTTTTGGGATCTGGGTACACAGGAACCCACTTGATAAAATTTACAAAAAACGTAAAACAGTACTCCCTCCATCACAAAATAACTGTCTCAATTCTAGTACAACTTTATACTAAAGTTAGTACAAAGTGAGACACTTATTTTAGGACGGAGGGAGTACAATATATCTTAATAATAAATGACCATTTGTGACCTGGGTAAAAAAGGGAAAATGGTAGTGCTACAATTTAAGTTCCAAAACATAGAAAAATGTGTTTTTTGGCTAAGCTTTAGTAAGTGGGTACACCTAAACCATCAGTCCATCACCATTCCAATATTTTGCTGGATGACGAGCAAATATAGTGTCTGCTGGCAGTTATGTAAGCTGTGTCAGAGGAACCACAATAGAGGCGAATCTGGTAATGGCAAGCCGTTTATAGCGTCGGAAGTTGATTACAATAGTCAGCAGGGTATGAGCAAATCTGGTTCAAGGGCATTATTAGACAGTTGAAACATGGCGGGAACATTCACAGGGGCTTGTCTGCGACGACTAATTTTGAAGAGACAGAAGCTAGTGCGCCCACTGCATGCTCGTAAGCTCACCTAACAGAAAAAAAAGGGAAGTCTCGGCACCGCTGTTTCTATACCTGCACTCATTTCGTCACTAAGATTGTGGAAAACACACATTGGAACTAGGGACATGCGTAACTGTACTACTTAATGAGTACAGGCTACCATGCCAAGAAAGAAGGGATCATAGAGGTAGAGTGTGCGTACGCGTATGAGTGTATGTGCGTATGTATGAGCATATGTACTGTGTTTGAAAAAAAAGCGATAGACCGTATCTTGAAGCTTGGTGCTGTACGTTTACTCATGTGCAGAAGGTGCGCAACCCGTCGCTGAGGAGGCTGCTCCTGGACGAGGAGGCCCTGACGGAGGGCAAGATCGAGGCGATGGTGTCGCAGTTCCTGGCGCAGGTCAAGGACGGGACGTGGGGTGAGCACGGGTGGCCCAAGGTGTGGACGGACTACGCCGTCTCCAAGCTGGCCCTCAACGCCTACACCCGCGTCCTGGCGCAGCGGCTGCAGTCCGGCGGCGAGCGCGTCAGGGTCAACTGCTTCTGCCCCGGGTTCACGCGGACCGACATGACCAAGGGGTGGGGCAAGCGCACCGCCGAGGAGGTGGCCGACTTCGGCGCCCGGCTCGCGCTGCTCCCGCCCGGCGAGCTCCCCACCGGCACCTTCTTCAAGTGGCGCACGCCGCAGCTCTACTCCAAGCTCTGAGACACGTATCCGATGGTGTTCGTCTGTACGTCCCGTGCGTGGTCGATGGTTGCTCGAATTCTAGGCGCCTGCTGTACGTCCGTGGTGGAGTAAATATCTCGTTTCAGTTTAGCCATCGTTGCTGCTAGTTCGCTGCTCCTACCTAAGTGTACAATAGCTGATAAATCAGTGGTGTTCCACTCGTCCCATTGCTCTGGATCTTCACGCGGTATGGATTCAAGTAGCATCTCATTGCTTAGCCGCCACCGAGATTGTAGAGCACAGTGTGAGCCAGTATGGTGCTATCTTCCGGGAAATCAAGCAGAAGCACCGGCACTGTTTGTGTGACAATGTCCCCTCTTAGCCAGATGGAGCATAATTTGGATGATCATCTCATAGCAGGGGACTTGCCTTGGCCAGAAGTAGGGCATCATGTTCGCTTCCTTGCTCCCTCGGAGATCGCTTGTATTCCATTTGACATTGATTAATAAGGGTCAAAGTTTCGATGTTGTACTGATCGTTATGTTTGTGTTCGTGCTGGCTGAGCAATACAGTTTATGCATGATGTAGATCAAGCCAATATATGAATATTTCTTTTTCACCTTAGCTATATGCAAGTGTCCTGATTTTTGAAATTGGGTAAGCAGTAGTGGGGCAACAAAACATGAGTAATGGGCCAGTTTTACCAGATATTTGGGCCATTTATCTATAAGTATTCAGAAGATTTTGCATTGGCTGGGAGGCGGTGGCCCAGAGATTCATGCTGTTCTTTTGTTATGTTCTTTCATCGCTTCTTAGTTAGTTTTTGACTTGCTTGTTTAGGGCAAGTTGATTTTTTTTCTAGGTTGAATTTTGACTCGTCTCTGTTAGGGGTTAGTCGATTTTTCGCTTGAAACCCGTTATACATTGCCTGTTTTTGTTTGTATGCCTTTTTAGCTTTCGATTTTTTTTCTACATATGTATTATTTACATGTTGGATGAGAAAAAATGTATACACGCAAATACTATACAATATGTGTGTAAGTTATATTAGAGTATAAAAATTACACTGTTATATACTTATTATTTGCATATTAAAAAGTGCAATCTCAGTGCAAAGTTGTGCGCTTTTTTTTTCGTCTTAAAGGGTAATACTAATGTCACTTATTTACTTTTTCTAAGAAAGCTACATTATTTTGAGTTTTTATATTTTTATTTTACTTCCCTTTTTGTGAGGGTAATATCAATGCCACTAATTTATTCCCTCCTAGGAAACTTCTTTTTGCGAAATTATTATATGCTTATTCTTGCATATTATAAAAAACATATTTTTTGTGTAAATTTTGTCCAAAATTATCATTTTTTATTTTTTATTTTCTTTCTTCCTAAATGGTAATATCAATGCCTCTAATTTATTTTCTTTAAAAAATCATTATTTTGATTTATTTTCTTTTGGGTTTTAATTCATTTTTTCATCTTCTTTAAGGGTAATACCAATGGCGCTAATTTATTCCTTCTTGTTGTACTTATTTTCACGAAAAACACTATTGTACGCATGTTCTTGCATATGATAAAAAGCACAGATTATGTGTAAATTGTGTGCAATTTTTTCCATTATTTATTCAAAATTTTCTTTTCTTCAAGGTTAATGGCATGCCACTAATTCATTTTTCCTTAGATTTTTTTTAGTTTTTATTTCACTTTTTTCTTCTTCTTTAAGTGTAAACTACTAATGCCACTAATTTATTCCTTCCTAGAAAACTTATTTGTACGGAAATTTCACTATTATAAACTTATTGTTGCATATTATGAAAAACACAATTTATGTGTTTTTATTTCATCACTTTTTTTTTCTTCCTAAAGGGTAATATGAATGCCACCAATTCATTCTTTCTTAGAAAACATAATATTTTATTTTTTAGTGTTTATTTTATTTTCGTCGTTTAGAAAACTACACATATTATAAACCTGCCTACACATTTGATCATCACCCGCATGTGAAGATTAATTGGACTCTAACTTCACATAAATAAATAGCCCTCATAGTGTAGTTAAGTTCCATTAGGTCGATCGGTCAAAACTTACACATAGAAGATATATCTATGAACTCAAACACTTGTGTGCAGTTTTCGGGATCTCCTCATCAAAATATAATATTATAGCCAGCTAGCTTGTGTTGTGTCAGGCAAGGAAGACGTGCGTCTGAAGCATGCACCACTCTCACTGGTCGTCGCCGGCTAGTGTCGGATTTCGGGTTCCGACAGACCCTCAAGGTTCGAACTTTGGTGTGCGCGCGGAGATCACACCTCCTACCAACTTACGTCTCGTCGCCTCGCAAAGAATCTAAACTACACGAAGAACAACACAAGGGACACGAGGTTTATACTTGTTCGGGTCATCATTGTGGTGTAATACCCTACTCTAGTTTGTGGTGTGGTGGATTGCCTCAGGGGCTGGTGATGAACAATACAATGGAAGAACTGTCTCGCGAGGGGAGGAGTTCTTGTGTGGTGATTCTGGCTAAGGTTCGCCTGATCGATCTCCGAATCCCCATGCTTTGGTAGCTAGTCCTATTTATAGAGCGAGGCCTTGGTCCTCTTCCCAAATATTGAGCGGGAAGGGCGCCAACAATTGGCCATTTTGAAGGGGAACATCTATTACACTTATCCTGACTAAAGTTGGTCCCCGCCTGCCAAAGACTCTGACGATGACGCCGACTTGGGCTCCACGATGACATCCATCCTGCCGTTCTACTAGTCTTGGTCTTGTTGCACCGAAATGGTTGCCTTTGCTTGATACCCTTGCCTGCGCTTGCCCCCTTTGCACCAAAGAGGAAACAAGGACTCTGCGCAGGCCGGCGCCCGCCTGGCGCCCGCCTGGCTTCGTTCGTCATGGCTTGCGTCACGGGCATCTCGTGAGGTACCCCGCCTTGATCTCTCCGCCTCCTCGCGAGCCAGCCTGACGAGGCTGTGCCTGAGGAAGCTTCCTGTCGTCCGCCCCGCGAGGCTTGGCAGGCAAGTCTGGGTACCCCCGTTTCCAGAACGCCGAAAGTAGCCCCCGGGCTCAAGGCGCGCCCGGACTTGGCTTAGCAGGGAAGCGAAGGGGCAAGTGCGAAGCACCGCGGGCCCCAACAGCCTGCGGCCTTGGGCGCCATGTGGCGGTTGATTGGACGGGGGCATCCCTGCTTCCCCACGACGCATCGGCAACTGCTTGACTTGACAAGAGAGTGGCACTAGGCCAGGCTTACCCTCTTTGCCTTCTCTAGTCATCGCCCAGATCCCCTTTCTCGTTGTCCTCCTTCTTGCTCCCGAAATACCCAGATCTACTCCAACCCCTCATCTCAGCAAGACATGGCGCCTCGTCAGACCCCGGTCGGAGCCTGGTACTCGCCCGCTCTGGATCCTCCGAACATGTCAGAGAAGAACCTTGCCCGGACGCCCCAGATGATGGCGGCGCAAGGCAACGACGGGGCGGCCGCGCTCAAGGTTGGCTCCGCCCTTCCCGAGGACAAAGGAAGCACCTTCTAGCCGCTCTTCGTGAGCGCCATCGCCGCCGGTCTGGTGCCTCCCTTTTCCGAGTTCTCCCTTTCTGTTCTCCGCCACTACAACCTGCAAGCTCTGCACCTTCATCCCAACTCTGTTCTTCTCCTGGCGATTTTCGCCTATTACTGCGAGGCTCATGTTGGGGTGAGGCCCTCGGTGGCCTTGCTGCGCCATTACTTTTACCTCCGGGTTTCTCGCGGCCCCATCACTGCGTGCGCGAGCTTTATTGCGTACTCCAGCTCCAATGCTATCTCGAAGCCCGGGAAGAGGATCGAAGGCTTCCGGAGCAAGTGGGTCATGGTGGATGCTGGGCGCATCCACCCCCGGCTGATGCTGCCTACGAGGCAGCCTGAGGCCGTCGACGCTTGGTCCCGCACGGAGCTCGTCGATCCCCGCGCGAGGCCTGTGCTGGAGAGGATGGACACGAACCTGTGGCCAGGCAACATGGCGTCGGCGAAGCTGACCGGGGCGTCGCTCCTGAGGGAGTTCCTGGAGCACCGGGTGGCTCCGCTTCAGGAACACTCGCTCCTGCTGTGGAGGCTCGGGGAAGCCGATGCCGCCCTTCGCCCGAGCTCTGTAGTCTTGGCCGACAGAGATCTGGCCGCGGTCCTCCAATCCTTGGTTGAGGGAGACGTGGCGAGATTGGAGGGTGCTCCTGTACCCCTGTTCCTTCGGGATGATTGGGAGCAGGTGGTGAACTCCATGCCCGCCTTCAACGGGGATGGGCCTGTGCCCGTGGAGGTTCCTGAGGACCTGGCGGCCCTGGCAACGGTGAACATATCTTCCAGCGACTCTGGCAAAGAGGAGGAAGAAGAGGGGGAGGAAGAGGAGCCCGACTCCGAGGCGACCGACTGGGAGTCGAGAGAGCCCCTCCCTCAGTGCAGGTCCCGCGCTCTCCGCCTCATGTCGGACGACGACGAGGATGGCGACGAGCGAGGCGGGGAGTGTTCGCCCCTGATCCCAAAGAAGGACAAGACGGGGCTGGTTCTCCGCGGGCCTGCTTCGGCTCCGAGGCGATCTGCAGACGTGCCTCCTGCTCCCGAGTCTCCTGAGGCTGAACCCAGCAGCCGGCTCTCAGGCTTCAAGTTCGGCCGGAGGCTGCTTGAGTCCGTGAGCGATGACCAGTAAGTGCTTGATTTTCGTTCTGCTTCCTACTTTTGTTGCTGAGGCTTGACGTCCATATCCCTTGGCTAGGCCGGTGCCTGCGGCAAAAAGGCTGAAGGGGGCCCCTGAGGCTTCGCCTGGGGTAGTACTTCCACCCGTGGGAGAAGGAGGCGGCAAAGCTCGGGCCTCTCCTGCCCGGTCATCCTCGCGAGGCCAGGCGGGGCGTGCTGGGGCGAGTTCAGCCCCCGTGACCCAAGCGACTCCAGAGGCATCCTTGCCTGACGCCACTGCCGCAGTCATCGGGGCACAGAAGGTCCCGACTCATGGCGCTGTGATCACGTTGCCGTCTTCTCCTCCTACTCCGCCAACTGCCATTTCTCCGACTCCTTCTACTAT